TTCACAAACCTGTTGAAAAATGCCAGTTTCTTCACTTTGATTATTTTGATGAGAGCCTGATTTCATCATGCTGTTTCACATATATATACAATGTATAAAATTATTTATTATGTATGAGTATGTGTGTGTGTGTGTGTGTGTGTGTGTGTGTGTGTGTGTGTGTGTGTGTGTGTGTGTGTGTGTATGTATGTGTGTATGTGTGTGTGTGTGTGTATTTACCCATGTATCGTAATCAAAAGAATGTTATCATCATCTGGTTGAACATCCACAGATTCAAGTGTTCACGTTTCTCATAGGGTGTATGTTTGTGTATGTGGATGTGTGTACGTCTGGTGTATGTGTGTGTGTGTGTTTGTGTGTGCATTTGCGTGTGCATGTGTGCGTATTATGTGTGTGTGTGTGTGTTTGTGTGTGCATGTGTTTGTGTATGTGTGTGAATGTATGTGCATGTGTGAGTGCATGTGTGTGTGTGCATATGTGTGCATGTGTGTGTGTATGTGTGTGTGTGTGTGCGCGCGCATGTGTGTGTATGTGTCTGTGTATTTACCCTTGTGTCGTGATCAAAAGAATCATATGACCATATGCAGTTGCAAGCGCGTTTTTACTAAAAACAAATCAAAAGAATGTTATCATCATCTAATCCAACATCCACAGATTCGAGTGTTTACGTTTCTCATCGGGAAAGAAGTGCCGGACAACAGACAGACCAGGTGGATGGCATGTGCCAACAAAGGTGAGCGGGTGGTTGGCGTGCGCTCTGGTGTGGTTTGCTTCTTCCTTCCTAGCAAACTCCTATTGACTTCATCTCCCCTTCTTCTTTTTTTGTGTTTGTTACTCTTGTAGCACCTCTAATCTTCGGCAATTATAGGACCTTATTGTGTTGCAAGTGCCGTAAAACTCTTACTAAAACTAAAAACAAAGTGGGGTGATGAGAAAAAGAGTGCGACTAACAGGTAAACTTGTTTCTTTTACGGCATCATCATCATCCAGTGCCAGATCTGCGACCGACATCGGCGAAAATGGTTCTCCATTCATTCCTTTGCACGGATGCTCTTAAAAAAGCTACGTTTCCCTGATCTTTCCTCGTTACCCATTTGTTTAGTTTCCCTGAGAAGGTTGTTGTGGGCCTACCCCTGCCTCGTTTGCTTTCCATTTTGCCAGTGAGAGCTAGATGTTCAAGACTTTTATGTCTATTCAGGTGTCCCAAAAACTACATTTGTCGTTTCCTGATTGTTTTCAACATTGAGCGTCCCCCTTTTACGGCTTACTAATCGTTTAGCCAAGTTGCTTGTAGCAGTGTCTGTAAATAATGTCACATAAGGAATAGAATAATAAGAATATCATTCGGAACATTATTGAGTATAATATTGATAGTAATGATAGCCTCGAACCTCTGCTCTTTAAGTTATTGTTATTATTACTATTATTATTATTATCATTATTATCATTATTGTTATAATCATTATTATTATCATCATTATTATTATCATTATTATTATTATCATTATTATTATTATTATTATTACAATTATTACTATTATTACTATCATTACTATTATTATTGTTATTATTAATATTGTTATTATCATTATTACTATTATTATTATTTAAATATTATTATTTTGTTATTGTTATTAGTAGTAGTAGTAGTAGTAGTAGTAGTAGTAGTAGTAGTAGTAGTAGTAGTAGTAGTAGTAGTAGTAGTAGTAGTAGTAGTAGTAGTAGTAGTAGTTGTTATTGTTATTTTTATTTTTATTATTATTATTATTACTATTATTATTATTATTGCTATTATTATTAGCATTATTATTGTTGTTGTTATTATTGCTTAACTGTAGTTTCCTATTGATGATGCCGCACATCTGAGTATATTAGCTGTATCATTAGGTGCTCAGATGTTATCAGGTAACACTCGATATAACTAACTATAACCCAAAGTATTCTAAAAGTGCGCTGTTTGAGCTCAGGTTGTATCCTGTAGTGTAATTCCGTTCTAGTGACCTCTGTTATACGAGTCCCCATATGGGCGTATTTCCACTGGGTGTGTGGGAGAGTTGTCACGATTCTCTGCACCATAATATGTGAGGCAGCGTGGTGAAATCGGGTGCTGGCAAAATAATGACATTGAGGAAACTGGCATTTTTCTGTCCATTTGACAATTTTTATCGAATTTTTGTTTTTTTTGCTCAACATCTGTTATGCCCATTAAAGAACACATTTCTATGGGGAATTTACTGAAAAACGTTGATTAGAGGCACATAAAATGTAAATTTTCAGTTTCCACCGACTCTCAAGCTAAGGAAATAACTCATCTATGGCGGTCATTTTCTCACTAATTTAACCTCTGAAACCAGGTGACCCTCACCTCCTTCTTTTGCAAATATCTCGACTTGTATTAAAAATAAATGGATATTTTTTTCCTCCAAAGCAAGACAAATGAACAAGCTATACTAGAAAGTAACATTCAAAGAAAAGCAGGAGGAGATGAGAGATACGAATGACACAAATGTTTGATAGAAAAGAAGGAGCAGACCACTACAGAGCAGCGTGTTACCAGCCGCCACATTTGAACCAAACATCGCAGATCATGGTTCACCACTCATTAGACTTCTCAGTTGTTCTATATAAAATTCCCTTTAACTTTAATTGTTCTTGTCTTTTCCCGTCACCACTTTGTTAAAGTTCTAAAAGTAGGCCATTCTTGCACACATCTGCCTCTTTTGCTGCCTATTTTTCCCGTCAGAGTAAGATTCTGTTTTACTACCGTTTCCTTACGACGTGGGGAACTCTGTGCCACCACTTTCCAAAGAGGAAATTTACTTGTTAATCCGATCCGTACGCTTTGCATAGCAGTCTGTCTAAATGATTTGTTGAGAAATTATGAAAGTTTCAAAGAGATCTTCGTACTAGAAGTATTCTAAAATGTGAAGAATACAACCCCGGGGGTACAAAATGACCTCAGGGTGTACTTTTAGGGTTAATGCAAAAATATCGATTGAAGCCTCCTCCGAAAAGCACTCGTCTCTTCAAATACTATTGTTTTTCACACTGTAATAATGTACAAATTATGTTTTTTTTAGTTAGTCGCCTGTCTACCGTTATTGACTTACTGAACGAATGAACGTTTCCTCAGACCACGTTATACATTTCTTCCACAGGTAAATTTGCTCATATATCCACCAGAGCTGACGTGCAGGAAAATGTCCAGGTAATCCATTAGCCCTTTGTGAATGTTGTGTGTGGATCAAAGGCAAATTTGTTGTGCATTTCAGACACGAGAATGTGCATTTTTACAGTAATCAAGCTGTTTGTCTGTCTTATAAAGTGTCGGGAAAGGGAAACTGAATTGAAGAGAGCTGTATAAATGTCGAAGTTATGTTTATCTTTTAAAGCCAATCATCAGTACTTTTTCAAAAGCCTTTAGAAATGTATATAAGTATGATCCTGAATTGATTTTGCCGCTGGGTATCCACGCAGTATTGGCCTTACGTAAACTCCATTAGTGTGATATACTAATTAAAGGTATACATTTTTCCTGACTGTTATATTCTACCTGTAAAATATAATATTGTTTTCGTAAATGTCTCTGCTTCTTTGTATAAAATATACTGCGACGAAAATGTAAAATTGGTTTCAGATGTCGTTTTTTGCTCACATCAAGTCTAGCATTGAACATCTTTGGAAAAAATGTATACAGGAAAAATTAATTTCACGAACTATGACAGCTTGTCTAATCTGAAAGACGGCGACTTGGTATATTATGTTGCAAGCACATTATCCTTACACGCACGCTTTTCGATTAGGGGATGCCAATCTTATAGACACGTACCCACACTGAAGTTACACATAATAGCAATTGTGAAGCGTGCTGACAAAATGAGCTGTTTCACGGATTTGAGCCCCGGGGAAATAGATACATCATGCTTATAGGTGAAATGTTTACAATTTATAAGTTTGAAATAACAAAACGAAAGTTATACTTAAGGAAGATTGCATTATTATAAAATCTATTAATTTGGCCCTAGGGTTCATTTTTGGCCAATATCTCCATTTAATTTTGTGGAGGGGGAAAAGTAATCTTTTTGTCAGCATGCCTCACAATTATGCTTGCTTGTCATCAGACTATGAGCAAGAAAATAACCTGACAATTCTGGCGTTGAGATGGGAGCAGAAAGTTGAATCTTTTGACATCTGTTTTATAATTTCACGCTGACTATTTTCAGGGGTTTTAGACGCCTGGACCGACGTAGGAAGGCATTGTTTAAATTGTTTACTTCTGGCGTAGGCCTGGTTATCATATAATACTACTACTACTACTACTACTACTACTACTACTACTACTACTACTACTACTACTACTACTACTACTACTAATAATAATAATAATAATAATAATAATAATAATAATAATAATAATAATAATAATAATAATAATAATAATAATAATAGTAATGATAAAAATAATAAATGAGTTTATAACGCGCCAGAATCCACAAAAGGTGCTCGGTGGCGTTTACAAAACACACACACACACACACACACACACACACACACACACACACACACACACACACGCACGCACACACACACTCACAAACACACACAAAAGCTCTAAAGCTCTGTACCACCACGACATGCATACCCCCCCTCCCCCATTTCAGGTATAGAGTTCCAGCATTACAAATAATATACTTTCCTGAAAACATAACGTAATAATATTACACTTGATTTGACAATGCTAGTAAATTAGTTTTGTCGGCACAAAAGATATGCCTTAACACGTAACTTTAAATATCTGAACAATACAAACGTTCTAAAAATGGCAGAAATAAGGCTAAGTGACTATAGCCACTCGCTGACATCGGAATTTCAATTATCGACTAGCAGTAAACGATACATATCCAGAAAAGCAAGAACAGAGAGATATAGAAATTAATTTGCACCAACTGCAGTGAGGTTACTTAACACACAATGCTACAAATGAAACAGACAGACACAGAGAGAGAGAGAGAGAGAGGGGGGGGGAGAGAGAGAGAGAGAGAGAGAGAGAGAGAGGGAGAGAGAGAGAGAGAGAGGGAGAGAGAGAGAGAGAGAGAGAGAGAGAGAGAGAGAGAGAGAGAGAGAGAGAGAGAACGTTTTACGAAGCGGATTGTCCCAGCACGTGAGACAAGTATTTACTAAAGTCCTGCCTTGTTGTGCGTATGTGTGAGTGCACCTATCTTTTGTAACGTCTACTGCCATTGTTAACAACCAAGATAAATTTCTCCCTGCGAGATGAATAAAGATTGTCATTGTTATTGTCATTGTATTCTTGTTACTGTTTTTCTCGCCATCAGAAATATATCAAAGTGCTGAGCAGACCTTTGGCCATCCAGCGTGCCCTCCACAAGGTGTGGAGTCCCGTGTACCTGGACTACGTCACAGACCACAGTGACATCAAGGTGCCCAGGAACGCGCCGGCCAGTTTGGACGTGGACTATGAGCAGTCCGCCACTTATGAGGTACCACAGTCCTTTCTGAATGTAGATTAATACGATAAATATTTTGGAATAGTTTTCTTTTAGTCAGATTTCGGAGCTTTCCAGAAATCTAGTCCTACACCAAAAGTGGGCATTGACGTACTAATAGGAGAAGTTTGGTTTCATTGGTGTGTATTTTTTTTTTTTTGGTTATACAGAAAACTATCCTCGTCTTTTAAAAAAACTGAACAAGGGTCCAAAAACTTTACCTTCGATTTTCTCAAAACTACATTTTTCGGGATAGCTCAATTGTGCTTAAAAGCGACCAGTTATTGTTGCATACTGAACACTTGCATTATATTGTTTCCCTGCAGGGCCTGGGTCTTGTGATGTCCATCTCCATGCCGGTGTTCGATGAACGGACAGATGTGGTAAGATATAATGTTATGTTCAAACAAACTCTATCATTATTTTTTTTTCAGTAGAAGTTTTACGGCGCTCACAACTGCATAAGGTCATATGAGCGCCAGAAGATTAGAGGTGTTACAAGAAAGTAACAAACATAATGAAAAAAAAGGGGAGAACAGGATGATAGATGTTTGACAGGAAAGAAGAAGCTAACCACACCAGAGCACCCGCTAACCACCCACTACCATTTTTAGAACCAAATACATTTCTAAAAGACATATATACCAATCAGAAATCTGCGTCCATATTGTGGACATACTTTTGTATTTATTTAGAGTTATATATTTTTTTGTCAGAAAATATAAGTTATACGGCATGCAATATGGATTGGAAGAGCAAAGGGGGAAAACGATGGTAGTCACAAACTGGAAATTGTGAAGGTGTCACGTTTAAAAGCTTGTAGACTCCCAACTTTATTTTTGTTTGACTGGTGATTTATTGTTAAGTGTTGTTGAATGGGAAATCTAACAACAACAACCAACCAACAGTTGAACAGAAATACAGTTATGAGTCAACATGCGTTCAAAATTTGTACCCTCAGGATTTTCAGTTTGTGACTACAGCCTTTTTTCTCTTGTAATCTTCATGACGTGTTTTTGCCGGAGGTGGGCTGAGGGGGGGGGGGGGGGTCGGTACATTGCTCTTTTAGCGTTATTGTTACGAAATCGTTCAATTTGTTGCAAATAGAGACTTCTATCCCCACCACGCTTTAATATTACGATATATTTTACAGGGACCCAAAGAGGAGGAGCCTGAAAGGAATTTGTTGGGTGTTGTAGGAACGGACGTCAGAATCAACGAACTGATGAAATTGATTCCAACGTATAAGGTGAGCATTTAATCTTTCAAAAAATAACAGAGTTTTACTCCTTAAACATAGAAATCGTGACCTTGTTTTGTTTTACTCTTACATTCTGACACTTTTCCTCTTGGCTAAAAGTAATTTAAAGCAAAGACAAAGGGTCGCTTTTAGGCACAAGGGGGCTACCCCCAAAAATGCTGTTTTGAGAAAATCGAAGGTAAAGTTTTTGCCCCTTGTTCAGTTTTTTTTAATGACAAGGAGAGTTTTCTCTTTAACCAAATAATATACACCCCAATGAAACCAAACTTCTCCTATAAGCAATGGCAATGTCCACTTTTGGTGTTGGTCAAGATTTCTGGAAATCCACAAAATCTTGGTTCGCCCGCTTGTCCTTAAAAGCCACCAAATGTTTGTTGCATATATTCAATAAACATTATCAAACCTAAATAACCAAAACTGTTCAAACGAATTTTGACGTACACGCAAATCAATACTCTATAGGTTTGCGAAGAATTGCCATATATTTTCAAAAGTGTCACTTACTTTTGCACCCTCCCCTCTCTCAATCCCCCCCACCCCCCAAAAAAATTACACCCTCCTCCCCCCAAAAAAAATAAAACAACAACAATCAAACTAAAAAACAACGAAACAAGCAACAACAAAATAGTTCGGGTAATCTAGACTCTTTATTTGAATTTAAAAAGTGTATCCACGACATAGATCTATCTCTTTTAAGTGGTGGCACAGATTTCCCCACGTCGTATGGATACGATAGTAAAACACGACGTACGGATAGGGTTAAGTGGTGGCACAGAGTTCCCCACGTCGTATGGATACGATAGTAAAACATGACGTTCGGATAGTGTTAAGTGGTGGCACAGAGTTCCCCACGTCGTACGGATACGATAGTAAAACAACACGTACGGATAGGGATAAGTGGTGGCACAGATTTCCCCACGTCGTATGGATACGATAGTAAAACACGACGTACGGATAGGGTTAAGTGGTGGCACAGAGTTCCCCACGTCGTGTGGATACGGTAGTAAAACACGACGCACGGATAGGGTTAAGTGGTGGCACAGAATTCCCCACGTCGTATGGATACGATAGTAAAACATGACGTACGGATAGCGTTAAGAAGAATATGTTATTCCTACCTGCGGTTTCAATATTGTTTACTTCTCTCCACAGCTGGGCGTCAACGGCTATGCTTTTGCTATCACAAACCATGGCTACATCCTTTTTCATCCAGATTACAGACCTTTTGTGAGTACAATGAAAGATCTTGTCAGTTTGTTAGTGTTTGAGCGCTTAGTCGGCTGCTTGCACTGTATGCTTCTATGGTCTGCTGGGGTAACAATATAGTGTAAAGCGCATAGAGCTTGCTTTCGAGTGGGTGTGTGCGCTATACATATGCTACCTATTATTATTATTATTATTATTATTATCATTATTATTACCGAAAAACTTTTCTCTGGCGTTGTTTTCGTATTTCACTCGTACTTGTGATGTGGACGTATAGCCTTCTGTTTTAAGTAACTGAGGATACAAATAAGATTATACTTTCCAAAATGCATGAAATGAAACAGTATATTGATATGTTATTATTATATCACCATGTGTATTCAGTAATAGTTCATCAAAAAACATTAATATGGGTCTAGTTTGTAATTGTTTTTTTACTTGCTTGTATAAGATAAGCTAAGATAAGATAAGATAAGATAAGAGACTACTTTATCATCCCAGAGGGAAATGTACGTCATGACGAGGTAAATTTTCTAAGCATTAGTGAATTGGGTGGTTGGCGGGTGCTCAGGTACAGCGTGCTCTTTCTTTCCTATCAAACATCTATCGTCTGTATCTCTCCTCCTTCTTTTTTATGTATGTTACTCTATTGTAACACATATTCAATTCTTCGGCACTTATATGACCTCATTGTGTTGCAAGTGCCTTAAAACTCTTACTAAAAAAAAGTATTAGTTATTGTCTGTGTGTGTTTGGTTCTTTGTCCAACCCCTAGTGTCTAAATAAAAGCGACTACCAATATAATACCAGACTAGTGAGTACAGAGTGCATCGTATTTTCCTCAACATTCGTTGTTTTTTTGTTGTTGTTTTTTTCTTTTACTCCATTGAAGAAATTGGGGATGCCTGCAAGTTGACAGTCAGGATACAACAATCATGAAACAAAGAGTTATTTGTTTTTTACATAGTAGTGATTTGTCAGAAGGATTTGTACTGCCCTATCTTCGCTGTCTTCTTAGAAACTCTAAATTATGAATAAAATTCATCTACACAACACCTACAAAACGTTGTCAATTATTCTGCTAGAAACACCAATGCTTTTAAAACTTTAAGCACGAACCCATGTAATGGGAACAGAATCTTAGTGTTTTAGCGCCTATAAATGGCCGTTTGCACTGTCTGCTTCCCAGGAAGTTGGTATTGTTTCAGAATGCTCTCGGGTCTGCTGGGGTAATAGTATATAGATTGTAAAGCGCATAGAACTTGCTGTTGGGTTTGGATTTGCGCTATAAAAATGCCAATTATTATTATTGATATTATTATTAT